AACACCAAACGAAACTCAAAAGAATAATTATCATAAATCAGACAGACAGACAGACAGTTTATTCAGTAATTTAGACATCAAGGCCCATAGTACAATGCAGATTGGATATTAACATTTGTCACGTGATATACATGATTAGATTTTAAATCAAGTTACGCATTTCTCTTTATAAAAACATGTTTTAAAAGTACAGAAACAGCATGGCTCATATCAGGATTTTCAGAGTTTAGCAGATTTATCAGTTAACTGACCGTCTTTAAAAATACCCTGCAACATGGGGATTATCATAAAACATCTGTCTGCATGTCCGATCCATATCCTGTTTCGGCACTCTTCTCCACGTTGGGATGCTATGTCCGAATAGGTCATTAGTACCTTGTGGTTGGAGTCTATGAATCAATCAAGTCAGAGAGACGACCTACCCGATCCATCTTAGATGGTTTTTACAAAAGCATACGTTGCTTGCGACCTATTCCAAGCCAGATCCTCACAAGACCCGATCAGTTTGAATACGTATTTAATAAAATTTGAATTTATTTTATTACTGTACAATTAAAAACGTTAGTGAGTGAATGGATGTTTAACTACGACACATTCGAGAGGTTTTCAGCGACATGCCACATGTTGCTGAATAATCGAGTATTGGTCAGACAAACAAATAGATTGTTACATGAGCAACGAACTCCGCCCGCAGACATAATCAGCCATGTCACACTCAATTGTAAGTCAGATCTTAAAACAAGCATTGCAAACCTATTCTGTCTGGGGTCCCGTTGCACAAAGCGAGCTTAGCGCTACGGTTGTCGTAACTCTGTGTTAAAGAATGAGAGTTATGGTCGTCTTAGCGCTAAGCTGGCTTTGTGGAACGGGGCCCTTGAAATGACAAAGAGGGGAACAGAATCAAAGCTTTGTGCTGACCTTTTTGTATATGTCCCGTGTACCTTGACAATCCAAACTGATACCGAAATGTGCGGAAACACTTCCTTCCGTGTATGTGAGTACATCTGGGTGTGTTGATATATCGAACGAGAAGTATTGCTGGAGTGCCACACATAGTGATCTGGTCATTTACCACCAATAAAACACGAATTAGGGACCACAAAAACAATGTATCGTGTCACAAACAGCCAAGGACACCCAAGAACAAGTGTAGCGTTACACCCAATGCCAAATCGCTCGAAACAACACGATTTACCCACAAATGTCCGACGTTGGTGATTATGTACAGAACCAGTAATTACATCCTATCTAAATAACATTTGATACCCTCTCGTTTATTGTGTAGTTAACTCTTAACACCAACAGACCTCATCATGTGGTAATGACTGGTCGATTGCAGTGTATGCGTATGGTTGGTATTGCTCTATGTTCAGATCAGTTCTGCGCAGTGCTCGGATTTCTCGGCCATCTGGAGCAACCGGAAGTTCCAACTGTTTGAAACATGAGCGTTACTCAGTGGGAATGGAAGGGAGATCAAATCTGTGGCCTCAATGTGAACTCCATAAAGTGAGTGAGTGAGTTGGGTTTAACGCCGCTTTTAACATTATTCCAGTTATATCGCGGCGTGTCAGCTTAATGTGGGAGGAAAGCCCGAAGTGATGCAGGTCTCAGACGTTTACCACTTCGGTGAAACCCACGAGCACGGGTATGGTGCTGACAAACCTAGAAACATAATCGGGGCGACCTGGGATTGGAACCATGTTCCCGTGTTTTTTCAGTTGAACAATTGACTTGCCTTTGCATGTGTGTTTGACGTGTGCAACCGGTGGTGGAGGATACGCTCACCTTTTCGCGAACACCTATTTGACAGTTATTCAAACATGATCGTGATATAGTCGGAATACAATCGACTACAATTTTGGGCAGATATTTCTGTTTTGATTGTGGAAAAAAAATTTTGTTCGCTTATATTTACAGAAGTCAGTGGACCACAGAGGGGATTATGGGGGAAAATATTAAGCAACTAATTCAATCAACATAGTCCAAGATAAATAGGCCCCTCGTACAAAAAAAAAAAAGAAACTTCCAAAAAAGAAACGCACAGGTAGTAGTGAATTGAACCTGACTACACAAAAAAACACGGTATATTAATTGGATATATGTTATTGGAAAACGTTTGTGGCCTGATATTCGACAAACGGTGTGTCAAAACGCCCTGGCCGTCGAGATCTCCAGATCTCAACCCAATCGAACACCTCTGGGATGAACTCGCCAGAACACGCCGCGGACACTCCCACAACTGGCCAACGCGCTACAAGCAGAATGGCGCAGAATTCCGCAGGACAGAATTCGTACACTTATCCAGTCAATGCCGAAGAGATGCAGAACCGTGATTGCTGCCCGGGGCGGTCACACGAGATACTGAGTTCAGCGCAACCTTGTTGCCTGATGGGACATGATAATAAACAGTTTTCAATGCCTTTGTACAACGACAACACCTGTTTACCATAACGGTATCGCCGTCGGTACGGAAGCGACGCACTGAAAGTTGAAACTGAAGTTGTAATTCACAAAAGTCATTTTTGTTTATTCTACCATGACATTGAAGAATGCTTCATTTTGAATGGTTAAAACGGGATATCCTTGTTCCTACTGAGACCTCTTTTACTTTAAACCTTTTCACACAAAAAAACTGCGCGTATGAATTCATAGATAGCATACATATCCATCCACAAATAAATGGCTGGCCATAACCCATCAGAACTGTATACGATATTTCACCAATACACGCTTGGTCTCTCATACACGCGGGGTCAACGGCTCGAGAAATCAATAGAGGCCCGGGCGCCTAACAGGTGTAATACGGTACGTTTGATATCGGATGTTTTTGGCGACGATGTTCACGTCCTATACTGAAACTCTTACTGGTTTGATGACGAGTTGACAAGGCTTAACGAAGACAGATCTTTTGCATACAAATATTATCGTTAATAAAACTGCTTTGGGTCATATTCGGTAATTTCCTCATTAAAAAAACGACAATAGAGGTAAAATAAAGCATTATAAAAACTATTTTTAAAAACTATTCATGATAACATGTTGTTTACAAACCTTTTTATGGGATCGATATTGGGTCACGGGTGGCCCAGTCGTCTAAGGCGACGCGATTCTCTGTGCAGAGTTGCGTCCCTTGGGCATGCCAGAATCCTATGATTGTGGGTTCGAATCCCGGTTCGCCCCGATTATATTTCTAGGTTTGTCAGCACCATACCCGTGCTCGTGGGTTTCACCGAAGTGGTGAACGTCTGAGACCCGCATCACTTTGACACGCTCGGCATTGAGGGGCTCAAACAAGGACTGGTCGGCTCGAAATCAGTATACTGTGTCTGAGTGGGGTATTCATGTTAAACTGCGGCATGGTATCTCAGTGAGCTAGCACTATAAACCAGCATCAGTCCGGACTAGTACAAGCAGCCACACACACACACACACACACACACACACACACACACACACACACACACACACACACACACACACAAACACACACACACAAACACACACAAACATCTTGGACGCGACGTTAAACCCCATTCCACCCCACCTCACCTAATTCACATATAAGTTATAGAATCTCTGCACTTGTACACAGCAGCAAACTTAACACTTCGGTTTTATTTGTTTCAACATCAGTAAAAGCGCTATGGCGTCACTGGATTGTCTGGTCGATCGAGGGGACACGGGTGGCCCAGTCGTCTAAGGCGCCGCGATTCGCTGTGCAGAGTTGCGTCCCTTGGGCACGCCAGAAACCTATGATTGTGAGTTCGAATCCCGGTTCGCCCCGATTATGTTTCTAGGTTTGTCAGCACCATACCCGTGCTCGTGGGTTTCACCGAAGTGGTAAACGTCTGAGACCTGCATCACTTCGGGCTTTCCTCCCACATTAAGCTGACACGCCGTGATATAACTGGAATACTGTTAAAAGCGGCGTTAAACCCTACTCACTCACTCACTCTGGTCCATCGATCACTTGATTGTCTGGTTTATTCACAGGCCGCCGTCGCAAGCTGTTGTGCCACGTCAGGCCTGTAATTTTCGTAGGTTATTTTTACCTACAGGTAGGGCAGGACATGCTTACCCTTTTTGCGAACATCTGGTGTCATCACATCTTCCCGAGGCAAGGGAGTTAACTGACTATAAAAGTCCAGTTTCCACCCTTGCCGAACTAGGCTGGTATTACGGAGTTTCATTTTGGCTGGACTAACGAGTCTACGCATAGTCCAATCAAAATCGCGCACCGAAATCGAAATCCGGTTCGTTAAGTGTCATGCAGATTTCGGTCGACTGCAGGATTTGCAAAGCATGTGCACCGCTAACTGCTGTCAACAGATATTTTCTAAATCTTTTCATGTTTTTAATCAAGGTGCTCTCGTGATTTGATGCACTTAGCGATGTAAGACTCGTTTTATCACAATATAGATCTTGATTATCGATCAGATCGTCTTGACTGGGCGCCACCGTTTTGTTTGAAGCAAATGCAAGTGATACGAGAGATTGAATCTGATTGGTCAGTAGGAGAGGCATAGAAAGGACATAACTCGCAATAGCCACTGGTGGCGCTACGATCGAGCCTACGAATTCCAGCCTAGTTCGGCAAGGTTGGAAACTGGACTTTTAAAGTCAGTTAACTCTCTTGCCTCGGGAAGATGGTGTCACCACTGATTTTCAGTGGTCCATTCATATATTTTAGCAGCTATTTTTACCTTTACGCCAAATGGAATCTGTTTCAGAGGATAATCAAGACTGGTTATTTTCTTGCATTGACGTTTTATATCTACATATATGTACCTCATATAAATCACACAATATGATGTCTTCAAACTTTAATATCGATCTGCATCAAGACCCACTTTAGAGATATAGAATTTAAATGCGCAACAACAGCTGGGCAAATAAACATTCCAGTGCTGGTACTCAGCGTGTTTTGAAAACGTTGATTGAGGAACACCTTGATGTGTTTGGACAGTGGAAATATTGAAATTATGCCAGCTGTTTATGTCCCAACCGTGTAGAATACGTCTTTATAACCACAACCGCATGGGTTGTATTCGGTCCACAACCATGACGTTAACGCTGCATGCTACCATCATCGTCCTGGCGGCAGGGATGGTCAAAGGTAAGTGTTCGTTTGTTCACACTGAGACGATCGACTGTCAGTTTTCCTTCCACATCAAGGCATTCTATGAAACAAGGAATAAGCCTCCCTACAACACATGGTGTATATTTTCGTCTTAATTGAAATGTCCTGCTACGAAATGAACAAATCACGTGGTTATGGTAAATACGTGTCCTGCTACAGTATGAACAAATCATGTGGGTATGTTGATGACGTGTCCTGCTACACCATGAACAAATCACGTGGTTATGGTAAAGACGTGTCCTGCTACACCATGAACAAATCACGTGGTTATGTTAATGAAGTGTCCCACTGCAATATGAACAAATCACGTGGTTATGGTAAATACGTGTCCTGCTACAGTATGAACAAATCACGTGGTTATGGTAAATACGTGTTCTGCTACAATATGAACAAATCACGTGGTTATATTAATGACGTGTCCTGCTACAATATGAACAAATCACGTGGTTATGTTAATGAAGTGTCCCACTACAATATGAACAAATCACGTGGTTATGGTAAATACGTGTCCTGCTACAGTATGAACAAATCATGTGGGTATGTTGATGACGTGTCCTGCTACAATATGAACAAATCACGTGGGTATGTTGATGACGTGTCCTGCTACTCCATGAACAAATCACGTGGTTATGTCAATGACGTGTCCTGCTACAATATGAACAAATCACGTGGTTATGTTCATGACGTGTCCCAGTACAATATGAACAAATCACGTGGTTATGTTAATGAAGTGTCCCACTACAATATGAACAAATCACGTGGTTATGTTAATGAAGTGTCCCACTACAATATGAACAAATCACGTGGTTATGTTAATGAAGTGTCCCACTACAATATGAACAAATCACGTGGTTATGTTAATGACATGTCCTGCTACAGTATGAACAAATCACGTGGTTATGTTAATGAAGTGTCCCACTACAATATGAACAAATCACGTGGTTATGTTCATGACGTGTCCCACTAAAATATGAACAAATCACGTTGTCATGTTAATGACGTGTCCTGATACAATATGAATATATCACGTGGTTATGTTAATGAAGTGTCCCACTACAATATGAACAAATCACGTGGTTATGTTAATGACATGTCCTGCTACAGTATGAACAAATCACGTGGTTATGTTAATGAAGTGTCCCACTACAATATGAACAAATCACGTGGTTATGTTCATGACGTGTCCCACTACAATATGAACAAATCACGTGGTTATGTTAATGACGTGTCCCACTACAATATGAACAAATCACGTGGTTATATTAATGACGTGTCCCACTACAATATGCACAAATCACGGGGTTATATTAATGACGTGTCCCGTTACAATATGGACAAATCACGTGAGTATGTCAGACAATCTGATACTAAATTAAACTTAGAGAAGCTCCTTCACCGAATATGTTTATTTTTTCACAGCTGATATCTACAATCCGTACACACATCCGTCAACCAACCGGAGGTTCTTGCATGATCTGAGGTCACTGCTGAGACTCTATCTGGGAGAGAAGGTTCTGCCACCAGAAACTTTCACTCCACACGGAAGCGACCTGGGTATAACTTATCTTTGTCTTTTGGCACAACATGACACAATACTATGAAAACGTTTAGGCTTTCATGAACCATACCGCACAAAGAAAAATCAACAAAGGTTTACGTGGTTTCACAACCATGTCATTTTGCACCGGAAAACGTCTTTACATTGTGCATTTATTTGTATGTACAGAAATCTGTTTTTTTGTCTGGCCATGTCTAGAAGGAGGAGCTGTGTTCACTCGGTGGGGGAGGACAACATGTCCGTCAGGAAATGATGTCATGTATAAAGGTAAAAAATGTAACAAAACTCTTTTTATACGTCGATTGTACGATTCCGACTGTATCATGGGCATGTGTATATGAATCACTATCAAATAGTGATAATACCAGGTGGTCCCGAAACGGTCAGCGTATCCTGCCCACCAGTGTTACCAGTCACAAACACACGCAAAGGCAAGTCAATTGTTGACCTGGAAAAACACGGGAACATAAGGTGCAACTCAATACAAGGAATCGCATCTGACATCATTTTGGTCCCTGATGTTTCAGATTTGGAAATGTTCTCCACATGTCTACCATTAAACATTTTGAAAGAGTTACTTTCCTTCAGATGGTTTTATCAGTAGTTATGCCAGAATACCACTCCACAAAACTGATTGTAACATTTATGTATTTGTTATTTCATAAATATGAAAATCAATAACTATAGTCGAATAGTATCTTTATCTTCTACCCCGGATATTTACGGGTAGATAAGATAAACATACTACTATAGTCAAATAGTATCTTTATCTTATCTACCCGTGGAGATCCGGGCTAGAATAGGTCTTCAGCAACCCATGCTTGCCGTAAATGGCGACTATGCTTGTCGCAAAAGGCGACTAACGGGATCGGGTGGTCAGGCTCACTGACTTGGTTGATGCAGGTCATCGATCCCAATTGCGTAGATCGAGGCTCATGATGTACTAGATTGTCTGGTCCAGACTCGATTATTTACAGACCGCCGTCATAGTGCGGCGTTAAACAACAAACCAACCAGCCAACCAACTTTATCTTATCTCGGGATCGGGTGGACAGGCTGGCTGACTTGGCTGGTCATCGATCCCAATTGCGTGGATCGATGCTCATGATATCAATCACTAGATTGTCTGGTCCAGACTCGATTATTTACAGACCGCCGTCATATAGCCGGAATATTGCTGAGTGCGGCGTTAAACAACAAAACAACCAACCAACCAACCAACTTTATCTTATCTCACATTAAAGTACAGTTGGGCTAATGTCAGGTTATGCTGGAGGAAGCCATTACCAGGCCCCGGGTGGACCAGGAACAACCCTGTGCCTCCCTGAGGCACCTATCTACGCCAACCATTCTCCAGTAGGATCACAAAGCGATCTCTATGGTGCAGAGTATCAAACTGATGCAGAGACAGCGCCTCTTCATAAACTGTTTCAAGATGATATCCCGTGTGTGGTGTGTCACAGTCGTCATAGGAGGAGTGCTGTCATGGTCCCTGCCAGGAATGAGTGCTTCCCTGGGTGGCACCTGGAATACAAGGGGTACCTCTTTGGGGGTGCCACTGAACACTATACTGGTCACACTGATTATGTCTGTGTTGATGGCGATGCAGAAGCTGTCGCCGGGGGTAAGGCAAACACAAACGGCCATATCTTGTACCTGGTCGACTCTAAATGCGGTGCTTTACCTTGCCCACCATATGTTGAGGGATGGGAGCTGACATGCGCTCTTTGCACAAAATAAAATCATGTCACCTGTTGTATGTTTCCTTATATTATCAACTGGCTGTATGTTGGTAAACACAATATATTGCAATATACAGTCGTGCCTCGTTTATACGGACGCTTGCGTCATTTCACAATTCGTCCGTATAAACGAATTTCCGTATAACTGAAACCAGCTTCTTACTGGAAGAGTTACTTCCCTTCAATTATGTAATATGTAATCAAGGTCAGAAATGTCCATTTTGCCACCAAAATCGCGAGCTTTCTCTATCAGCATTTCATCATTAACGGGCACATTACGACTTGTCATGTCACACAACCAAAGATATAATGCATCTTCCAGCTTCTGGTGTTTTGCTACACGGGATCATTTGAATTTTCCGGGAGATTAAGCCACTTCTGTTTGTCTTTTAAAATGTCACCAATTGTCGATTTTCCTATGGTATGTCCAAATTCAGTGTCATAATGCTTGCTGATGGTTTTCAAACTTGCTGACGGGTGTTTTTCCTTAAACAGACAAATTTCCCTTTTTTCGCGTGCTGTAACTGCGTGTCGCTTTCGTCTCGCTGGTTGACAGGCCATACTCACAGTTTGAAGTCACAACTTTGACCTCTGACCTCAACAGACGCCATATTTATCGAATGGGATTACATGTCCAATAAACAAGCTCGTCTCAAACGTAACTCAGTGTCACTTCTCACGAATCAAAGGATTACCACCAGCGGAAGTGTACTGCGATACGTATTGCGATATACTGAGAGATGAAGCTTTTGACACTGATTGTACATGCAGGTCATATTTGCTACACAGTAAAGTAAATACTAGTATTACGAAGTCAAAGTCTGCATGGTCTGACCACGCCAACGTGAGGGAAAAATCCTTCCTCGTTTCCGCCATTTTGTCATTCAATTTCGAGTGAGTGAGTATGGTTTTACGCCGCTTTTAGCAATATTCCAGCAATATCACGGCGGGGGACACCAGAAATGGGCTTCACACATTGTACCCATGTCGGGAATCGAACCCGGGTCTTCGGCGTGACGAGCGAACGCTTTAACCACTAGGCTACCCGACCGCCCCCATTCAATTTCGAAGGGAAACATCATTTGTGAAAGCATTTCTGTGAAGGGTTAAGGTTAAACCAAAAAAATAACGAAACTTGTTACATTATGTTTACTCAATATTCCGGAACACAGAACAAAATATTGCAATATGTATCGATTGAAAAGGTAGACTGGTTTGTGGGTAAAGCCATGAAGTCCTACTTTACTATTTCGGGCCATGGGTGGCCAGGTTGTCTGAGACGCAATTTCATGATGCGCAAAATTATGTCCTTCAGCAGGGCCGAGATCAGCTGACCAAAGGTTCGAATCTCAGATTCTACACGATTAGGTTTGGTCTGTCAGCGCCACACCCAGGCTCGTGGGTTTCATCACACTGGTGAACACTCCAGTTCTACTGTCTTATCAACAACACATACAATATATTACTACTATTGGAACACCATGTTATATCAGTTTGGACTTTTCATAATATTCTGTTGTTTCAGTTTTAGTGTTTCAGTACATGATTCTGCACCCGCGCTATGGCAACATTTGGCGAGTGTAAACGCCACCCCCTGTCAGGCCTGTGTTGGCATGTTTACCCAGTGTCAATGGAGAGTCAGAAACACCTTTTGATCAACACGCAACTTCGACCCTTAATCCACCTGGATGTTTAATAGTATTGGCTCTCCATCTAATTTTAAAAGCTTTATGTAAAAGCATTGACTTTCGTAGTGAAACTTGACACGAGATATATTGGATCATAAATTTACATAGAGGCGGTGACTCATAGGCCAATCTGGTGATACAGAACTCTATATGTGTCAACAAAAGCGTCACGTGCCGATCCATCCTGGTATTTTGTCTTCATATTTCATAGCTCTTTCTGTATTTATTTACTGGAATATAACATCTCTGTAGCTCTAACGGTGCCCGTTACTTTTCAGCAACACCGTCCTTCTTGACAGTGGCAAAACCTATATTTTTATGATGTGTCTTACCATTCCATCTGGTCCGCCAAAGACGGAACGCGGCATGTAGAGTCTACATCATCTTGGGTTCATTGTCATTTCATCTTCCCATGAAAATCCTTTAGGTCTGAGTGAGTGAGTATGGTTTTACGCCGCTTTTAGCAATATTCCAGCAATATCACGGCGGGGGACACCAGAAATGGGCTTCACACATTGTACCCATGTCGGGAATCGAACCCGGGTTTTCGGCGTGACGAGCGAACGCTTTAACCACTACCCGACCCGACCGCCCCGCCCCCCCCCCCCCCCCCCCCCTTAGGTCTGAAGCCTTCACGATTGACTACATGAATAGTCTGGTGTCTGTGCCTGGTGTAGCGATAAAACTTTAGTTAATGTGCACAGAGCAAAAATCTTAAATCTACAGTAGTTTGATACTGAGGTTGTTGTCTTGGTGGACAAGACACTGTCCGGGGCATCATCAGAGACTGGGGTTTCAGACACACAGCTCAGCTGCAGTTTTGAATGTTTGTTAGAGACATCATATTCTGTTTTGGTCAATACTTCAAAACGTAAATTTGTTTTCTCCATTTTTTTGCAGGTTTGTGTCAAGATGTCCGACATGTACAGTGAACAGCCCATCTTTTTAAGTTAAACCTGAGGCAAAATAATATCTTTCTAGTACTTTTTGACACAAATTATATTTTCTAAATATGATCAAATTAAGTACTTGCGTTTTTCCTGTTGTAATTACGTCAACACCCGAGTTGAGTAAGAATCATACCAAATGCGGGCATGTTGCCATGGTAACATTATAGTGGGGGCCACAGCTGCGATACTGTGTATCATATACAGCGAGTATAAGCCTGTCGTTAAATATTACACCGGAGATCGAATGCATAAGAATAGGACATCAAAATGGATATAAACACATAACATGAAATTAAACCGAAATTGTTGGATACCCCGATGCACCGATTTGTTGGTTAGGGTTAGGGTTAGGGTTAGGTAGCCCTTAGGTTGTAGGGTAGTCGGGCGCTCTTGGCTTGTTGTGTGAGGCAGACGGATTGGATCAGGTGGGTTAGAGTTAGGGTTGGGGTTAGGTAGCCCTTAGATTGTAGGGTAGCCGGGCGCTCTTGGCTTGTTGTGTGAGGCGAACAGATTGGATCAGGTGGGTTAGGGTTAGGGTTAGGGTTAGGGTCAGGTAGCCTTTAGATTATAGGGTACTCGGGCGCTCTTGGCTTGTTGCGTGAGGCGAACAGATTGGATCAGGTGGGATAGGGTTAGGGTTAGGGTTAGGGTTAGGGTTAGGTAGCCCTTAGATTATAGGGCAGCCGGGCGCTCTTGGCTTGTTGTGTGAGGCGAACAGATTGGATCAGCTGGGTAGGGTTAGCGTTAGGGTTAGGGTTAGGTAGCTCTTAGATTATAGGGTAGTCGGGCGCTCTTGGCTTGTTGTGTGAGGCGAACAGATTGGATCAGGTGGGTAGGGTTAGGGTTAGGGTTAGGGTTAGGTAGCCCTTAGGTTATAGGGTAGTCGGGCGTTCTTGGCTTGTTGTGTGAGGCGAACAGATTGGATCAGGTGGGTAGGGTTAGGGTTAGGGTTAGCGTTAGGGTTAGGGTTAGGTAGCCCTTAGATTATAGGGTAGTCGGGCGCTCTTGGCTTGTTATGTGAGGCGAACAGATTGGATCAGGTGGGTAGGGTTAGCGTTAGGGTTAGGGTTTGGACGCCCTTAGGTTATAGGGTAGTCGGGCGCTCTTGGCTTGTTGTGTGAGGCGAACAGATTGGATCAGGTGGATAAGGGTTAGGGTTAGGGTTTGGTAGCCCTTAGGTTATAGGGTAGCCGGGCGCTCTTGGCTTGTTGTGTGAGGCGAACAGATTGGATCAGATGGGTTAGAGTTAGGGTTGGGGTTAGGTAGCCCTTAGATTGTAGGGTAGTCGGGCGCTCTTGGCTTGTTGTGTGAGGCGAACAGATTGGATCAGGTGTGCTGGCTTGGTGACTTCGTTGACGCAGGTCATCGTGACCCTCGAATAGGGGATTGCTTTTTATACCAACTCCTGGTTTATCCGGACACGATCACTTAAAGGTTGCCGTGATATGTCTGGAATATTGCCGAGTGCGACGTAAACAAAGAAGTACAAGATAAAACACAATTAAATTGTTTGATAGGCATTGCTTAGAAGTTGACGGATGACAAGATAGACACAATTCTATGGATAACAACTTCTTTAATACTGTGAAAAGCGACGTTTCGGTATAGATCCTTATACCGTTGTCAAGCAAGACTGAATGAGGGACATAGTACAGAATATATATAGTAGGTGGGGGATTAACAGTAGAGGATTAACAGTAACAACAATTGCATACATGAGTGGGATAACATTGGTAGGTGTTGGTGGGATGTTATCCCACTCATGTATGCAATTGCATGTACCCATCTTTTCAGGTTAAACCTCAAGCCAAATTATATATTTCCAGGACTTTTGACACAAATTATTTTGTTCTAAATGTCATCAAATTAAGTACATGTACTTGTGTCCAGTGATTGACATTGTGAGCATCGATCTACACACTTGGCAGACTGTCTTCATAGTCAGGGGCACGGATGGCCCAGTCGTCTAAGGCGCCGCGATTCGCTGTGCAGAGTTGCGTCCCTTGGGCACGACAGAAACCTATGATTGTGAGTTCCAATCCCGGTTCGCCCCGATTATGTTTCTAGGTGTGTCAGCACCATACCCATGCCCGTGGGTTTCACCGAAGTGGTAAACGTCTGAGATCTGCATCACTTCGGGCTTTCCTCTCACATTACGCTGACACGCCGCGATATAATTTGAATATTGTTAAAAGCGGCGTTAAACCCAACTCACTCACTCACTCTTCATATTCAAACACAAGCCAAATCCTAGGAGGTAACTAATGGTCCAATCCATGTTTATTGGCACACAATATTCACACACGTAAGTTTTCAGATCCAGTGGTCGTGGTTGTGAAATAATCATTTTCCGGAATCGAATTTCTCCTTTCACAAAATTATAGGATAGCTTTTTATAGGATATTGAACGAAACTAAGTAAAGCCTATAGCTTTCCCAGTCTTTGACAACCTCAAAACCGACATAGGAACAGTTGCGCTTTGAGTAGAGTAGAATGTGCTCATTCAAGCTCCTCACAGGGATAGTCCGTTCGCGGGCTCTCTATAGACCATGATACCTGGAAGTTAACGGGGGTATCACGCTCTGGGGCGGAGCTTAAGAATGACTACAGGAGTTGGATCTACCGGCACTAAGGGTATTTCAGTTATGCCACAGCGTGTCATCACAGGTAGGAACGAAGCCCGAAGTCACGTAGGGCCCTGTACCACAAAGCGAGCTTAGCGCTAAGTCGATCGTAGCTCCCATACTTTAATACAGACTTACGTCAATCGTAGCGCTAAGCCCGAATATGGCAGTGACAAACCTAGAAATACTCATAGCCACAACAGATTTCCCATTCGCCACCACGCGTATATGTTTCCGTAGCCAACACGGCTACATTATGCTTGTCCCGGAATGGCACGAGTTGGTCACGAATGTAGATTCGGGCACGTCCAAGGGAGGCAACTCTGTACAGCGATATGCGGCGCCAAAGTTGAGTGGGTCACACGTGTTACTATGAAAATATGGTCTTTTGTAAACTGTTCAAAATGTATTAAAACTATTTTAAAAAGTATAATCTTAATTCAATAATTTGTGGTTATATTTTGTTTTTGTTTTTGTGTGTGGAGGATCGTTTTACCCTTTAGACGACTGTATGACTGGCTGACATGTAACATTCGTTCATAGCAAAATTATATTATACAAAATTTCCTTTGTTGAAAACATCCATTTTTGTGATAAACGTTTCCTCTAAGACGTTCGTGTATATTTGGGCAACTGACAAAAATAATTACTATCAGTATATTTAACACAATGACATGTTAAATATGACACATTTCCAACCAACCTTCGTTCGAATGTGTTCATGGTCGACTATTTATACAGGGTGTCTGGCGAATATGTATGACACTAAGCTGCAGCTTAAAGGGCACTTTAGGTCACGTAAACGCTTGTGTTCACAGTTACTGTTGACCGGCATGGCAGTACTCCACAAGCTCACGGCCAGAACATTGATTCCAGCAACACTCGCAGATAAATCCCTGCGATCCGGTCCGCTTGTCCAGGAAGGAGAACGCAGACTTCTTGGACGCTCTGTACTTCACTAATTCCTGGCCTGACTCGCCATCTGAAGAAAACATTCACATAAAAAGGGGTGGATATTCAGAGGTAGATGTGAAGGGGTCGCTACGAACGGGGGGTTGTGAAGGATGATATGAAGGCGGTGATACGAGGGCTGATAAAAAAGTTGTAAGCCTAACAAACAAAACCAACAAGCCAATAAAGTGTTTTTAATTCTCAATTATTAAATCAACATAATAAATCAAGTGAGTGAGTGAGTGAGTGAGTGAGTGAGTGAGTGAGTGAGTGAGTGTGTGAGTGAGTGAGTGAGTGAGTACTTTTCAATACACTTTTCATATCGATAGTACAGCTTTTCATTTCCAGACAGGAAGAAGTTTTCTGAAGCCACGCTGAAAAACCCACAACGTCCTTACTAAGGCGCTGTGTTGATTTACCATCACGTACTTACTAGGACGTGTTGATTTACCATCACGTGCTTACTAAGACCTTGTGTTGATTTACCATCACGTGCTTACTAGGACGTGTTGATTTACCATCACGTCCTTACTAAGACCTTGTGTTGATTTACCATCACGTGCTTACTAGGACGTGTTGATTTACCATCACGTCCTTACTAAGACGTGTTGATTTACCATCACGTGCTTACTAGGACGTGTTGATTTACCATCACGTCCTTACTAAGACCTTGTGTTGATTTACCATCACGCGCTTACTAGGACGTGTTGATTTACCACATCGTGCTTACTAAGACGTGTTAATTTACCATCACGTCCTCACTACGGTGCTGTGTTGATTTACCATCACGTGCTTACTAAGACGTGTTAATTTACCATCACGTCCTCACTACGGTGCTGTGTTGATTTACCATCACGTCCTTACTAAGACGTGTTGATTTACCATCACGTGCTTACTAGGACGTGTTGATTTACCATCACGTCCTTACTAAGACCTTGTGTTGATTTACCATCACGCGCTTACTAGGACGTGTTGATTTACCACATCGTGCTTACTAAGACGTGTTAATTTACCATCACGTCCTCACTACGGTGCTGTGTTGATTTACCATCACGTGCTTACTAAGACGTGTTAATTTACCATCACGTCCTCACTACGGTGCTGTGTTGATTTACCATCACGTCCTTACTGACATGTTTTTATGATTTACCTTCATTTCCTTAGTTAAGGAGCTGTGTTGATTTACCATCACGCGCTTACTAGGACGTGTTGATTTACCACATCGTGCTTACTAAGACGTGTTAATTTACCATCACGTCCTCACTACGGTGCTGTGTTGATTTACCATCACGTGCTTACTAAGACGTGTTAATTTACTATCACGTCCTCACTACGGAGCTGTGTTGATTTACCATCACGTCCTCACTAAGGAGTTGTGTTGATTTACCATCACGTCCTCACTAATGAGCTGTGTTGATTTACTAGCACGTCCTTATTAAGGCGCTGTGTTGATTTACTATCACGTCCTTATTAAGGAGCTGTGTTGATTTACCATCACATCATTACTACGATGTTGTTATGATTTCTGCCTTCTGCTGATTTACCATCACCTCCTACTCCTAGTGAGTGAGTGAGTGAGTGAGTTTGGTTTTACGCCGCTTTTAGCAATATTCAAGCAATATCACGGCGGGGGACACCAGAAATGGGCTTCACACATTGTACCCATGTCGGGATTCGAACCCGGGTCTTCAGCGTGACGAGCGAACGCTTTAACCACTAGGCTTCCCGACCGCCCCACCTCCTACTAAGGCGTTGTGTTGGTTTCCAAACACGCCCTTATTAAGGCATTGTCCTGATTTAGCATCACCTCCTACTAAGGCGTTGTGTTGGTTTACAAACACGCCCTTATTAAGGCCGTGTCCTGATTTAGCATCACGTACTTATTAAATGCCTTGTGTTGATTTACCATCACCTCCTACTAAGGAGCTAAGTTGATTTACCATCACGTTCTTACTAAGTCTGGACTAGACAATCCAGTGATTAATATAATGTGCATCGATCCACGCAATTGGGATCGATGAAATGCATCAACCAAGTCCGCAAGTCTGACCACCTGATCCCGTTAGTCGCCTCTTACGACAAGCATAGTCATCTTTTACGGCAAGCATGGGCTGCTGAAGACCTATTCTACCCCGGATCTTCACGGGTCATTTATACATGTGGAAACCTTAATAACGCATCGTGTTGAATTACCATCACGTGCTTACTGAGGCATCGTGTTGAATTACCATCACGTACTTACTGAGGCCTCGTGTTGATTTACCATCCCGTGCTTACTGAGGCCTTGGGTGTTGATTTACCATCACGTGCTTACTGAGGCCTCGTGTTGATTTACCATCACGTGCTTACTGAGGCCTCGTGTTGATTTACCATCACGTGCTTACTGAGGCCTCGTGTTGATTTACCATCACGTGCTTACTGAGGCCTCGTGTTGATTTACCATCACGTACTTACTAAGACTTATTGTTCATTTACGACCAACTTAAAATGTAAGACTATGTGAATAAAATAGAAACATTGTGAACAGGTTTGATTTCTTCGCAACGAGCATATGTTAATAACTTTACGAAAACAAAACAAAATTTTATGTAGGTTTTGGAAGGGACATTACCCTGACATATATCGAGTAAACCACACTTTCTTCTATTTTATTATTTTATTTTTTTAAATCAAGTTAATTATTAATTATTAAAGTTGTAACTCTATATACCCCACAGACTATACGCAACTTTGGATAAAGGAAACACAAGTAATCCAAATGAATTTTTACTCAATTTCAAAGTACTGTAAAATTACATACACATACACATACACATACGCAGCCTCCTGTCTGTAGTGTAGTCATTAGACACTAAATATTTTAACAGAGTGAGTGAGTGAGTGAGTTGGGTTTAGCGCCGTTTTTAACAGCACGGCGTGTCAGCTTAATGTGGGAGGAAAGCCCGAAGTGATGCATGTCTCAGACGTTTACCACTTCGGTGAAACCCACGAGCACGGTTATGGTGCTGACAAACCTAGAAACATAATCGGAGTGAACCGGGATTGGAACCCACAATCATAGGTTTCTGGCGTGCCCAAGGGACGCAACTCTGCACAGCGAATCGCGGCGCCTTAGACGACCGGGCCACCCGTGCCCATTGTTTTAACAGTAGACACATTACCAGTGACTATCCGGGTCAGCAACCCATGCTTGCTGTAAAAGGTAATTATGCTTGTTGTGAGAGGCGACTAACGGGATCGGGTGGTCAGGCTCGCTGACTTGGTTGATGCATGTCATCGTATCCTAATTGCCTGAATCAATTCTCATGATAACAATCACTGGATTATCTGGTCCAGACTCGATTATTAATAGACCGCCGTCATACAGCTGAAATATTGTTGATCGCGACGTTAAACAACAAACAAACAGAAGACACAGACTTACCAACTGAACGCACGCTTCTCCCGTATACACTGCAGATTTTCGACACTTGTTCAGGGACATTGTTGCAGATACCCCTGGGGTCGGGGTTGCGATCATTGAGGAAACAAACACGTGTCGTTCCTGCGTATACCGGCCGCGCACCACACAGCAGTCCGAACACCAAGCAGATCGACCATAGGACATGGATGGACATAGCTTAAAGAAATAAATACCATTGATTATGAATCTTATATACGACATAGCTTAAAGAAATATATACCATTGATTATGAATCTTATATACGACATAGCTTAAAGAAATATATACCATTGATTATGAATCTTATATACGACATAGCTTAAAGAAATATATACCATTGATTATGAATCTTATATACGACATAGCTTAAAGAAATATATACCATTGATTATGAATCTTATATACGACATAGCTTAAAGAAATATATACCATTGATTATGAATCTTATATACGACATAGCTTAAAGAAATATATACCATTGATTATGAATCTTATATACGACATAAGTATCATGTCATCCAGACAAACGGAGAGGGCGTCATTGAAAAATGATAAATATAAAATTCTTTGGAATATGCCCGTTTACAGCCTCATATGTATCCAGGCCAACAAACCTGTACTTGTCCTTTTTGATAATTTATATTATTGAATTTTCTGTCCCTTTTGACACTAATGTGATTGACAAGATTCAGGAAAAACATGGCAAATATGCGGACTTCGCGTTCGAAATGTCACGCTTGCATCCCAAGTACCAAGTTGTCCGACTCTCCATTGTTCTCGGTGCCTTAGGTTTGGTACCTCCCAATCTGTTGACTGACATCGGGAGAGTACCCGGGTTTGCTACCAGGAATACAGCCCTTCTGACAATCTGGGTAATGCAGAAGGCTGCAGTGTTGGGGAGTCTTCACATTCTCCGAAAGGTTCTCGGTGGGTTTGTAAAGGCAGCGCTTCCTGGGAGAAGTCCCATTCGCTGTCTGGGCTGGGTGTAGAAGGGGCAACGGTCCTGAGCTGATGATGAGCCTAACCAGCCTGACTGTGCCAGGATCACCCAAACCCTCTTTGCTGCATTTTTTATTTTAATCTGTACATAATAAAAATGAAGGCTACTTATATTGCGCATACTTCCACACCACTCAGGGGCATGCTCAAAGCGCTATTATTACCCCGGTCACTGGATCAATGTCCACTCAAGAATCATTCTCAGCTCCCTGGGGAGTATACCTGATGCCCCGTTAAGAGTCGACTAGCCTATCGGGTACGGGGATATTGCCCTTACTGCACAAGCCGTGTTCATGACGTCAGTCAATGGTTTACCATGTCCACATTCGAGTAATTACGGCCTCCGTGATATATTTGGAATAGTGCGGCGTTAAACAACATGCATTCACTCAATCGCGCTTACCTGGTGGTTCCTGGGGCTTGGCTGTGTGATTTGATTATTGTGCGAAAAGATTGCTTTTATAAGTTTCCTGCGACAGGCCTTCTCTCTGAAGAAGCCCCACCGCAACTCCCAATGATAATAACACAAGGAAGTTAGGAAGTAAGCGGTCTTAAAGATGAGTTATAACGGACGTTCAGTTGGAGGCGCGGTATCGCCAGTTCACCCGACAACATGAAGACAGATTGTCTTGTTTTGAAGCGATGTTTATTTAAGGAGATGAAAACTTCTAAAATGCACTGTATTGCATGAAAGGAGCGTTGATGTATGTGTGTTGATGTTTATTTTGAGAAATAATACATAGAAATGTTTATCCTTTGTCAACCTAACTTGTTCTGTCACTCAAGTGGTCAGCAGATTCCACAGCAAACCTATAGCCTTCTAGTCCCCGTATTTGGTCACTTCACGATGAATTGTGTGCACAAATATATAGAGGTTATCACGCGAGTGTGTTTGGGGAAGGTAAATATCCTGTATTAGGAATAAACATTGTATTTAGCGAGCCTTGGCGAAAACATTGCATTTAGCGAGCCTTGACGAGCTAAATATATAGTGTTTATTCCTAATACAGGATATTTACCATCCCCAAACACACAAGCGTGATAACCTCTTTATCATATAATGTCATTCTTTAATTTTGTGATTGAAAATCGCTTTCCCTCTCTCACAAACATTACCTAAACATTGCGAGTTTTCCTGGAATGCGCGCATTAATATTTATTACGTCACAGGGTAAGTGATGTGTCAGTCGGACAGTGACAGTAGCCAATATAGTTCCAACTGAAATCTGTTTCTTTTACAGTGGCGAAGCAATATATACGCATAACAACAAATTGTTTTACTTGCATTTCGCGGCAATCCATCGGTCTGTCCGCTAGAGTAACTGCCCTTTGTCAAAGGGAAGCTACTCTAACCCTAGTCTATTAGACGTCATGGCCACGATTAAACGTTGTTGACAGTCGGCCTGTCCTGTCAAAACGTTAGAAGTGCAATCAAGTGTACACACAGCGACAAAACGAAACAAGGTAACAATTCAAATATATTTCGGCCAAATCCAACTATTTTGATTTGTGGAAAAGGTTCAAGCCGCAGAGGTCTACAAGCACAGATATGGCCACTGATCCCGCTTGGCATGGGCTAGTGCCCTCGCAAAATTGTTTCGAAATTTATATCTCCAAAGTTGCCAAAACTTATAAAATGCCTTAGCGACGTCACAGTTAGACACTGATTTTAAGTATATTAGACTGTTCTTTTGCTTATGATAGCAATTATCTCTGTAGTTTATCCAGATTCCCGATGGTTAATTCTAACTCGATTGACGAATGACAAGGGCGACGCCATGTTTGTTTATAAACACAAAAGGTTGTCCCTACTTGACCTTTGATATTTGCATCTCTATCCGTTGGCTTTATTCTGCCGAGAAACCTACCCATTATATGATAAAAAAGGATATGTTTTAATTAACCCACAATGCTATTAAAATTTAACATGGGCGACTCTAAACCTGTCATGATGGACACCGTTCCACCATGAAGATTAAAAGAATTGGGCAGGTACACTGTGTGTCTTGGGTGGTTTAAATGTGCCTTGGTTGGTTACAGTGTGTGCCTTGGTTGGTTACAGTGTTTGCCTTGGATGGTTACATTGTTTGCCTGGGGTGGTTACATTGTGTGCCTTGGGTAATTACACTGTGTGCCTAGGGTAGTTATAGTGTGTGCCGTGGGTAATAACACTGTGTGCCTGGGGTGGTTACATTGTGTGCCTTGGGTATTTACACTGTGTGCCTTGGGTGGTTACACTGTGTGCCTTGGGTGGTTACACTGTGTGCCTTTGATGGATTCACTGTGTGCCTTGGGTGGTTACACTGTGTGTCTTGGGTGCATGGTTACATTGTGTGCCTTGGGTGGTTACATTGTTTGCCTTGGGTGGTTACACTGTGTGTCTTGAGTGGTTACACTGTGTGCCTAGGGTGGTTACACTGTGTGCCTTGGGTGGTTACACTGTGTGCCTTGGGTGGTTACACTGTGTGCCTTGGGTTGTTACACTGTGTGCCTTGCGTGGTTACACTGTGTGCCTTGCGTGGTTACACTATGTGTCTTGGGTGGTTACACTGTGTGCCTTGGGTGGTTACACTGTGTGTCTTTGGTGGTTACACTGTGTGCCTTTGATGGTTACACTGTGTGCCTTGGGTGGTTACACTATGTGTCTTGGGTGGTTACACTGTGTGTCTTGGGTGCATGGTTACATTGTGTGCCTTGGGTGGTATCATTGTTTGCCTTGGGTGGTTACACTGTGTGCCTTGGGAGGTTACACTATGTGTCTTGGGTGGTTACATTATGTGCCTTGGGTGGTTATAATGTGTGTCTTGGGGGTTACATTGTGTACCTAGGATGGTTACATTGTTGTCTTGGGTGGTTACACTGTGTGCCTAAGGTGGTTACAGTGTGTGCCTTGGGTGGTTACAGTGTGTGCCTTGGATGGTTACAATGTGTGCCTTGGATGGTTACACTGTGTGTCATGGGTGGTTACACTGTGTGCCTTGGGTGGTTACACTGTGTGCCTTGGGTGGTTACACTGTGTGCCTTGGGTGGTTACACTGTGTGCCTTGGGTGGTTACACTGTGTGCCTTTGATGGTTACACTGTGTGCCTTGGGTGGTTACACTGTGTGTCTTGGGTGGTTACACTGTGTGTCTTGGGTGCATGGTTACATTGTGTGCCTTGGGTGGTTACATTGTTTGCCTTGGGTGGTTACACTGTGTGCCTTGGGAGGTTACACTGTGTGTCTTGGGTGGTTACATTATGTGCCTTGGGTGGTTATAATGTGTGTCTTGGGGGTTACATTGTGTACCTAGGATGGTTACATTGTTGTCTTGGGTGGTTACACTGTGAGCCTAGGGTGGTTACAGTGTGTGCCTTGGGTGGTTACACTGTGTGCCTTGGATGGTTACAATGTGTCATGGGTGGTTACACTGTGTGCCTAGGGTGGTTACACTGTGTGCCTTGGGTGGTTACACTGTGTGCCTTGGGTGGTTACACTGTGTGCCTTGGGTGGTTACACTGTGTCTTGGGTGGTTACAATGTGTGCCTTGGATAGTTACACTGTGTGTCTTGGGTGGTTACACTGTGTGCCTTGGGTGGTTACACTATGTGACTTGGGTGCAGGCACTGTTTACCTTGGGTGGTCACATTGTTTGTTTTGGGTGGTTACACTGTGTCTTGGGTGGCTACACTGTGTGCCTTATCTGAGTTTGATTAAAAATTTCCACCACGAATCAAGACACCATTTTAGCAACAACAATATGAGATGGTTTATCCTTTCTTAAAATGAAAAAAAAAAAGGTTCTTGAAACTATATGAACCAATGTTGATTCGGCAGAAGGTGGGTTGCTGCTCATGCTATCTGATAATCAACCACTGGTACAGGCTGGTTTGTGTATATTTCTACAAGGATTTCAAAGTGTGTCACACAGCTCTTGTTAAAAAAATGTTTCATCAAATTTAAACCATTCGTTCAAGTTTCATGGTAGACATGTGGGGGACATTTCCAAATTTGAGGCATCAGTGACAAAAATGATGTCAGATGCAATTCCCTATTTTGACTTGTACCATAATATGTTCCTGTGTTTTTTAAAAAGGTGTTGTTGACTTCGTAGAGCTTCAGCTTATGGAAACTACGACACAAGTATTTCATGATGAAAATGTTTTATTATGATGTAAGAAAAATATTTACAATGGAAACATAACAATATATATGTAGAGTTTTCCATATGAAACATCCAGTATCACTCACTCACAGAACATAGCAATACACATGAAGGTCACAAGCATCCAAAACCAGCGCTTGCCGATCTCCATATCATGAACTCAATCATTTCATCAACAGTCTACAACCAAGAGAGAAATAGTACAAAGATCATATTCAGAGCTCCTACATCAAGTCATCCACAAAGAATGTGGACCCGGGCTCACGTGATGTAAACAGTATTCATGATGACTTACAACAGAACAATTACAAACAATTAAAGTCACTAGAAATACAGGAAAGCTCGTTATGAAACCAGCCTTGAAACATGTACCACAGCAATGATTGCAGTATGCAGGAACCTGGAAGGAAGATAGCCACTCTGCAGGCCAGGTGATGATGGGTCTCAGATGTTTACGACTTTTCAGAAACCCATGAGCAGGGTATGGTGCTGACAAACCTAGAAACATAATCGGGGCGAACTGGGATTCGGACCCATGATAACAAGCTTCTGGCCTGCCCAAGGGGAGCAACTCTGCACAGCGCATTGCGTCACCTCTGCCAACAGTACCACGCAGGACCTGTTACCATCTGGAGAAACATAGTGTTCCTCTCATTTGTTTCAGCAGCTATGGTGGTTTCTGAGACATACCCTGGTATATCAAACTGAAGTCAATGGCGTATGTACAGATCTCTGACACATACCTGTAAGCACAGGACGAAAGACCTCCCCCCTCCACCTCCCACCAACCCCCCAAAAGGGGTGGTGCTTAACTATCTTGGGACTGTATCGTACAGAGAAGACAAGGAGGTTCTCAGGTCAAGATGAAGATGGATGAGGCACCCAGTAGGGGCAATGTCGAGAGAGAACATCCACAGTAATCGCAAGTTCCACGTATGGGCGGATACATAGCAGTCCTCCACTTCAATGTCAATGCCTAATACCCGCCTACCTCACTGCAATACATATCGTTACCCGAGTCACAGTAAAATATTTATCGTGATACTGTATTTAAGTCATTTCTCAAAGTTACATTCATGTTCCTACTCGGCAAAGTGACATTCTCTCGACTAAATGGCTCAATTACACTCTTTCTAATAGCATTATTCAAAGCATATTGATTAGTGATTAACGTCAAGGTATACCTTATAGTTATCAAGTGAGTAATATCTTTTGTTAAGAAAGACTTTACTTTTAAAGATGGACGCATCCTTAAAACAGGAATGGATACAAGGG